CCCCAAAACCCCAAAACCCCAAAACCCCAAAACCCCAGAATTTTGTATAAATATTGAAATAAATCATTATGAATATTGCTTTAGAAGAACCAAGTGTACCTGACCAAAGCAGTCCTTCTGAAGGAATTGTTAAAGATCCAATTAACAAGAATCAAGTGGAAGATATCAATGTGAACGAAGGCGAAGGAAATATATTCGATGAGTCTAGTATTTATCAACCTCTCAATGTAGAATCGCACCCTGGTAAGAATTCATAACTTTTATTTCTTATAATAATATTTAGAAGAAGAAAAGTCTGAAATATTGCCATCTGCTCAAGATCCAGTACTACAAGAAGCTTCAAAGAAATCTCTCATCCCATTAGAGTCGGATAAAAGCAGAGAATTGTAAGATTCATACTCATAGAAATAGGGATAAAGGATTTGATAAATCACAAGAAGAAAACACTGAGAAAGAAGAAATTTTTGATAAACTAGAAGAAGAAAGGAAGAAAGAACTAGAAGCAGCTGGAGAAAAACTCAAACAGAAAATGCTCAAGCAAAAGAGGTGTCATATATGCACGCTTAGCTTTCCTTGTAAACACTTTAAGACCTTTGAGCAAGCTTTTAATCCAGGAGCAGGACTTTCTCCGAGAAATATGGAACAAAATAGTGAGGATCAGAAGAAAATGAGAAATAGCAAGTCTAAATCTAGCTTGCTATCCCCATTAAGAGAGCTTCCAAAGAAGCTACAATCAAAATACTTAATAAAGGGCGATGGGATTCTTCCAGGAGTTGGTCTTAAATCACATCCAGAGAAAGAAATGAAAGTACAAGAGCAAAAGACGATTCATAAGAAGCTCATGGAAGAACATGAGAAATTCAGGAGCCCTCAAAGAGTTCGGATTCAAAAGGGTGCTGGCAAATACGAGGTAATCACTCTTCAGCACGGAATGACAATTTCCGACCTTGAAAAATCCTCCAAAAAACAACAACAAAAGGAAGACAGGAATCGCTGCAAGCAGCTTGAGAAACTTATGAATTATCGTGAAGAAAAACTCAAAAACGATCAAGAACTTATCAAGAAGGAAAAATAAACGTATTGAAAGACAGAAGCAAAAAGAACAAAAACTTCTTGAAAAGCAAGCAAAGCACAATGAAGATCTTAAGAAAAGACTTGATGAATGGAAACACAAGAAAGAAGAAGAGCAACAGAAGAAAGCAGAGCAGGAGAAACAGCAAGAAGAGAAAAGAAAGAAAGCCCTCAAAGATCAAGAACAGTATTTTGAGAAATTAAAAGAGAAAATTGGTGGGTATAGAGACGAACTACAGAAGAATTCAGAGTTATTGGAGTTCTTAAGTCCTGCCAGGGCTAAGAACAGGATTGGGCCAATGAAGTTACTTCAAGAGATTGGAAATGATGGGTCAATTGACTTACAGAATGAATGCCATTTACCAAAAATTGTCCAGACAGTGCAAAATTTGGAAACTAATGCACATGTTTGTCAGAGATTTATGATTAAACATAAAAATAGTTTCGGAAAGGTATCATCAAAGAAGATACTAAAGAGATCTCCAATAACTCAAAGAAGTAGAAACACCGATAATGATATGAATAGAGGAAATAAGACTGAGACAAGATTTTTATCAACTCAGAAGCACCAAAAGATAGCACATGATGTACTGAGCAAAAGACAGCATGCTGAAAACCTTCACAAAAGAGAAGAAGAAAGCTCCTAAAATTGTTAAGAAAAAGAAGCAAAATCCAATTGAGAAGTATATTCAAAAGAGAGCAGAAGACAGTCTTGAACCTAGTAAAACTCAAGAAAAGTCTCCAAATCCTTCTCCAAAGCCTCAAGAAATTCAAAACAAAAGTTCTGAGGAAAAGAAAGCAAACAACAAATCCAAGCCCTCTTTTGCTATTAAGAAGGATACTGCCCAAAATCAAGATAACAAGGAAGCAGATAAACATGAGAAAGCAGAGAAACGTAAGTATTAGGACCTTGGGAATTCGATACATTTCTCCATCTTTCGATGAGAAATAGCAATGGTTTTAGAAATGAATGAATCTGATAAATTGGTTAAAAATTTTGAGTAAAAGGATCTGACTAAGAATTTTGTTGAAATTTTGAGTATTTCTTTCTTTAAGGATGTAAAATACATAAAATTTAGCTATTTTGTTATATTTCTTTTTATTTTACACTCTTTTATTGAGTTTCCTCTAAACTCACTCTAGTTACTCCAGAAGCACCTATACAAGCCAAGTCTTCACAGTCCCCAAAAGATGATTCAGAAGAGGGCTATGACTTTGATTTCGCTTAATCATGCTTTAATTCATCAAATTAACAGTTCCTCAAAGATTTTTTATTTTATAGAGAAATTCAATGATAATTTTTAGCAAAGGGGTTTTGGGGTTTTGGGGTTTTGGGGTTTTGGGGTTTTGGGG